GAAATGGGAGAGGCCACAACGGTGAGAGGCCCGCGTACCGAAAAAAAAAAAAAAGAAAAACTTTAGTCCACTGAACCTTCCCAGAGTTTCAAAGATCAGAGGAGTGAAAGCAAGCAGAGACAAAGAACAGAAGTCCAGCTGGAGAACTTGTAACAATTTAAATAATGGATCAGTCATATAGCAGAGTCATAGGACCTTTAGTTCCTCCCTGAAGGACATAGATATCAATGTCAAACTTGCATTCCTAAGTGGTTTTTACAGAAACCAGACTCCCATCAGATGAAAAATGCTGACCATAAGCACATAGACTCCAGGCCAGTTGGAACCAGAAGGTTGATGATGTTGACTCCGAAAACATCATCCTGTTACCTCGCCACCAACCATCCAGAAGAAAGTCCATGAGCTGCAACCCTTACCCCAATGTTGCCTTTAAAAGCCCTTCCGTAAAAAAATAAATAAATAAATAAATAAAAATAAAAAATAAAAAAATAAAAATAAAAACCCTTCCCTGAAAGCCAAGGGGGAGTTCAGGTCTTTTGAGCATGAGCTGCCTGTTCTCCTTGCTTGGTGCCCTGCAATGAACACTACACTTTTCTTCACCACACCTGGTGTCATTAGATTGGCAGGGCAAGTAGACACAAGTTCAGTTTGGTAACAATATTGAAAACTATACTGTAAACTTTATTGTTGTAAAACAAACCAGTGTTTAAAAATACATTAAAAATTGAAATGAGAGTTCCCTGGTGGTCCAGTGGTTAAGAATCCACGATTCCATTGCGGGGAGCGTGGGTTTGATCCCTAGTTGGGGAACTAGGATCCCACATGCTGTGTGGCACGGCCAAAAAGTATTAAAAAAAAAATTCACAAAAACTTCAAACACAAGAGCAGTTTACATTTTGCCACACTAACCCAGGCTTGAACAGTTGCCAGTATTTAGTACATGGTTATAAGAAACATCACAGGCTAGACACTTGAACATTTTAAAACTACTTTATACATTGCTATGTAATTGTCAAAATGGTGCATTTCAACAGCAGCATAATATTCAAAGCTGATGTGCCCTCACATGATTGCATTCGCCATTTGGTGAACACTGACCAAGGCCTACCAGGTGACAGGTCCAGGGTACAGCAGCCAAGTGTACAAGGTGAGAACATTCACCATTCCCCCACTTGAGCTGGACTTATTTTCACTAATGCGGGTGGAATATCTATGGGGTAGTGAATGGAAAGAATCTAACCATGGCTGAGCCATGTGCCTTTGCCCTTTTTTTTTGCCTTTGCCCTTTTAAGAAGGGACTGATTGATTCCGATCATTTGGGCTTGCATGATGGATCTGAAGCTGAGAAAAATGTTTCAAGACAAGGGCATTTCTTTCTTTGATTGAAACAACTATTTCTTTGGAAAAACTCTGGCTCTGAAAACAGGAGAGAAGACAATAAGAATTCTTATGTTAGGAAAAAACCTAGCTGGTTACATCTTCTTTACACGTACAGAGACACGTGAAAAGATTTGGCTGGTTCACGTGTGAGTGAAAGACTTTAAATCTTGTAAGCTCTATAACAGTGGTTGTTATGAGGAGACATGACAGATGGCTCAAAATTGGAATGCACTGATGTAAACAAAACAAAGCCAAGCTTAGCAGCTTTTCTTTAAAAGTGTCCTGTACATTCAGAGACTATAAGCTTTAAAATGTACATAAAACATCAGTTATCACTTCCCTCACCTGCAAATCCAAGTGCAAAAAAAGACTCAATTTTTTTTTTCCTGTTAACTTTTTTTTTTTTTTTTTTGCGGTACGTGGGCCTCTCACTGCTGTGGCCTCTCCCGTTGCGGAGCGCAGGCTCCGGACGCACAGGCTCAGCGGCCATGGCTCACGGGCCCAGCCGCTCCGCGCGGCATGTGGGGTCTTCCCGGACCGGGGCATGAACCCGTGTCCCCTGCATCGGCAGGCGGACTCTCAACCACTGCGCCACCAGGGAAGCCCTCTGTTAACTTTTTCTTCCACAAAATGTGTACCCTTGTCTCCCCAGTTTCCTTTTACCAGGTCATGAAGCATGAATACACTTGTCATGATGAAATCTTTTTCCCAGAGGTCTGGGCAGAGTCCTGGTGATGAGCTGTTGGTGGAGCCGTGCCAGGTTTGTCTGCTCATGAGGACACAACCCAGCCCTGACTTTGGGCCAGGTCGCCCTGCTCAGCTCCCCTTGGATTTGCCCCTCTGTCCCCTGCCTCTGACCATCTAATTCTTGTTTTTTCCCAACCAACTTTCACAAGCTTAAATGCCTGCAGGGGCTGGTTTTTTTCTAAAGGGGCTGATACTAATGGCTCCAGCCAAGTGGTGTCATGGGAGCAGGTAAGCCCAGTGTCCCGGGTCTGGATTTCTCAAAAGAAGCCAAAGGTCTGCATTTGTGTGTGAAATCTCTTGATTTTTAAAAGCTGGCAGGGATTCAAAGTTTTTAAAAACCCTCTGCCAGTCAAATAACATATACTGAAGACTACCTCTGAGCTGACCTCACCCTCCAGACCACGATGTCACCACTGGCTGGGTCTTTTTGAGCCCAGTCTTTCTCCAACCACAGGGGGGCACCTCCATTTATCTGTGACAGGACCCACAATGAGCAGCTGCATTACAAATCAGTGAAACTTTCAAGGAATTCTATAATCATATCCTGGAAAGCACAACTGCATTAGGCTGCATTTTTGTTAATTTGTTTGATATGTACATCTAAATATACCACAATGTTTACATAGCCCTGTGGATACATTTTTTCCTTTAAAAAAAATATCATTTCGGGAGCCTCAAAACCTAGCAGTGCCCAGCCGTCCTCTGACCCCAGAGGCCCTGGCTGGGGTGGGGAAGAGTCCTCTGGTGCATGAGATGATGAGGGCCAGCAGTGCATTGCAGCACCCAGGACCATGCTCAGCAGCTGCTGAGCTCAGACCCGGGGGTGCGGAGTCTGAAGCCTCTAAGGGAAGCCGGGCTCTGGGGGGCTGTGTGAGGAAGGACTGACGGCGGGAGGGAGCTGGGATGGGGTGGTGTAAGATTATTCCACTTTCAGGTTGGGGATACGTGGAATGGTGTGTTTGGCTGGATTCTGGATTTTTTGTTTCTTGCTAAACACTAGGTTTTATTGTAAAACAAACACCGTTGAATTCTGTAATAGTCACCAGAGGACCCGCGGTCCACAAGGGGGAAGGCAGGACTCCCTTCGCTCTTCTGTCTTGTATGTGACACCCTGAGAACCTCAGCAGCAGTGAGTCCTGCATCCTCCTCAGTGGCTGTGACCGTGACCAAGGATGCAGGGGGACTGCGTGAGTGAGAAGACCAGGACGTGTGTGTGTTGGGGGGTACGTTAGGGCATGTTTAGTACCCCCTCCCCAGTTGAAGGCGTGGGCTGCCATCCAGAGGTGTCTAGATACACATGCTTCGGCTGGGCACTGACACCAGGACATTCCCAGGCCCTGTCTGTACCTCCAAATACAAGAAACGTCCCGAAAGTCCCGTGGACCTGGGCTTTGATCATTACAGAGACTGCGAGGGGCGGTGAGTTGGACCTGGGGACCCAGATCTATCATCTAACCAACGAAAGAAAAGCAAAGAAGAGTAATGGGGAAATGTGACTGCCAACTGGTTATTTATTGCTTTCAGGGACAGCAATGGGGGGGACA